AGTTGATATGGACAAGGTCATCTCTTGTTAATATGCTTCCTACACGAGGTAGCCACGCACTTCAGTCCAGACCAAGCGGGCATAGTCCGGGGTTCGCGTCAATCCGGGGTACTTGTCCGGGGTCGGAAGCGAATCCCGCGGGAAATTGGTAGCCTTGAGGGACAACTTTGTCATGCACTCGGGCGCAGAATCGTCGGGATCGCTGGCCGGACATGACCATGACTTGCTGCCAGGCCATGGCACGGTGGATTTATCTCCGTCGAGACCGTCGGAAGCAGCCTGCATCAGGTTTGACACCATGCGAAAACCTGGCTTGGGTGGCGATTCTTGACGGAGAGAAGCCGTCTAGATGGCCAGATTGAGGGGAAACGTGATAGACCGACATTGGGCAGTTGTTTTGCGCAGGCCTCCAAGTCTTTGTACTCCATGTCACATGTTACAATGAATGAATAGCAGGGGAGGCCAGATAAAGAAGTGAATTCGCACATTCGCGCTGATTGGGCATGCATCGTGACAAGCTCCACAGTCCGCAAAAACGATAGATGTTGAAGGAAGAGGACATCACAAATACTGTGGGGGTTCAAGTAGAAGAAACCAAAAACAAAATACATTCTGATATTGATCAATCTCGAACTATAGACAGTGAAACAAAAACAGCCAAAAAGCTCCGAACGTGGTTCGAACACGTGACCTAGAGATATTCGAGCAATGGAAAACTGCAATCTCTCGCTCTACCACTGAGCTATCGAAGCTCTGCTGTCGATGCGACTTCAAGTAACCTTTTTTGGAACTCTGAAATATAAAGAGTCATAAATTTGTGTGCCTCGGCTAGGGCTGGATTGTGGGGCTTATGGGCACAAAGCCGGTGTATTGCCGGGTGATTCTCCCGGCGTCACACCCTTGTCGCTGCCTTCGCCGTATTCCCATGACAAGACTGTGGGATATACTCGTTGCTTCTGGCCACCATAGCTGCATTCTACTACGACGAGATGCCACTCCTCTGGCATGGGCATACACCGTGACACAGTCTTACGATTTGCAGAAGATTCAAGCCAACTCATTTTCCATTACTTACGGCTCTAAGGAATCTAAACATCCTAGCTGAAGCACGGCCCTTACAGATCCATCACTCGCGTCGTCGGCTCAGCGAGAAGGTCTTGTGCCTTCCGGGTCAGACCTGGGGTGGGAGTTAAGCAGGGATACCCTCCTCAGTATTTCCAGGGTCCATGTACTTACTCTCAAAATTGTCCAAGAACTCCTTCTCTGGATCGTACCCCCACAGGAATGACTGTGCCTTCGCGTCGCCCAGCAGGTCCGGGTTCTCCCCGCCCTTGGACACTGACTTGAACTTTTCATCTCTTGCCTGCTGCTCCGGCCCGTCGTGGAGGTGCAAGACCCGGCGTGTGGCGCCACCTGTGCCAGCGACGTGCTCTGCACGGGCTTTTCGAGCTACCTCGAAAGCCTTGAGAAGAGTAGGTATCTCCTCTGCCTTCGATACCCGGTTGAGGGCCAAACAAATGACGCCGACGTCTTCAATCGCTTGAGCCGCCCCTTGGGCGACGTAAGGGAGCATGGGATGACAAGCATCACCCAGCAGCACCACCTTTCCCATCACCCAGGTTGGAAGTGGATCATGCTCGCACAGTCGCCATTTCATCACGTTCTCGTCGGGGATAAAATCCAAAAGCTTGCGCAACCGAACAGGATCCCACGATCCAAAGTGATCCAAAATCTCCTGCTTGGAGGCTTTCGCAGTCCAGGACTCCTCCGAGAAGCCCGTGTCTGGGTGGCACATGACCTACAAATTCAATGAGTGACGCGAACCAGGCACAAAACGCATTCATACCATATTATAGAGGCTTCCATGGCGGATGGGATAAGCCTGTACATGTCTGTCGGGACCCATCCATCTTGTTGCCACGGGTTCTGTGATGAAGGCTCGCAGTTCTGGATCTGTAACAAACTCCAAGGGTATGCATGCCCGAAATGCCGCATCTCCCGTGGGCTTCGCTTTGTCGAGGAGACCAAGCTTTTGGTAAATCAATCGCCTGCAGGTGGATTTCATCCCTGGCTCTGTGAGTAGACGAACAAGACGTGATTTGACACACGCACCATCTGCACCAATAACCACATCTGCCTCAAGGACGCTGCCATCCGAGAGAGTCACCGAAGGCTTGTCAAAGTCAAGACTGGTAACCATGCTGTTGATGCGAACTTCGGCCACCGCCTCGGCCTCTCCCATCAAGGCTTCGTGGAGATCCGCACGGTGAATTGCATACTGCGGCGCCCCGTGTCTCCTCTCAATCTCGGGCATGAGGGTGGCTGCACCGAGAAACTCGCCGTCTTTCCATCTCCTCAAATCAATTCGTGTGAGAGAGTTCGTGTGTTGGCGGACACGCTTGTCGAGACCCCATCGACTGAGGAGGCGTGTGAGGTTCGGAGAGCAATTGATTCCTGCGCCCACTTCAGCAATCACCGGTGCTGCTTCCAAAACAATAACTTTGTGTCCCGAATGGCCTAATATGCCGGCCAGCGCCAGCCCTGCCACACCCGCTCCGACAATGATGACACTCAGAGGGTGATTGGCTTTCAAGTATGGATCGCTTCCATTGGTACCTGAATGCGAGTGTCCGTTGGCATTGCCGTTCTCGACACCATTCGTATACACTCCACCAGTTGGCGCTGTGGTCTCGGACGAAGGCATCGCGGCTGGCACACGAGAAGAGGCTATGACTCGGTCGTAGGCGCCTCTAGAACCGGACCTTGATACTGAAAACTTCAGTCACAAGGATACCTATAGAGATGACCGAGAAGTTTGGTCAATCCTTTTTACAAGCCCGGAGAGGCGGGGTACAAGGTCACAGAATGGAGTGTACAACATTTCGAATACTAACCCCAGAGCATCGCCTTCCGGCACAGGTACGGCACAGGTATGCCTTCAGGATGGTGGTGGAGTGGTGCTCGGTAACTCGATCCTGCCTGTACGGGATCGTCTCCCGCGGGGGAGTAACAAACCCCAGCACAACGCATACACACACGTGACCTAGACAGACCGAGTTCTCAGGCTCTGAAACATGGTCTGCCAGTTCCAGAAAGTGCTTAGTCGATAGAACCGCGGACGTGTGGACGAAATTGAGAAGAACCGAACATAGACTTGTGCATAAAACGTACCGGTTCCCACCAAAAAGGATGCGCGATCAGCGGAGCCGGAAAGTCGAGTTGATCAAACATATATCGGACAATGAGTAAAATAGGCCACAGCAGCTTGAATGGTCAGCATATGGACAATGTTCCCCTCTGGATCGACAACAAGCCGGTGCAGTCGGGAACCACATTCAGCGTCATAAATTCGACATCTCAGAAGACAGTATGGACTGCATCGTCTGCCAGTGTGGAACTTGCTCAAGCGGCCGTTGAATCTGCTTCCAAAGCATTTCAACCATGGGCGCACACCCATCCAACAGAGAGAAGGCGCATTTTCTTCAAAGCTGCAGAGTTGTTCAGGTCCCGACGGGACGAGATCATTGACATCATGGTTCAAGAGACCAATTGCAGCAGACAATGGGCTGCTGGGATCAATATGCACATGGGAGTTGAGTTCTTGGAAGAACTCGCCAGCCTCGCCACTTCTTCCTGCACTGGTTGGTTACCGACGACAGAAACTGAAAGTGTGTAAGCCCTGAATCCCGCAAGTTCCCAGCTAACGACGAAAGGTCGTTTGGCTCTTGTCTTCAAGGTGCCCTATGGCGTTGTCCTGGGGATTGCGCCGTGGAACGCCCCCTTCATCCTGGCAATTCGAGCAGTAGCCACACCGATCATATGCGGAAACACCGCAGTCCTCAAGGCGTCAGAATTGAGTCCTAAGACTCACAACATCATTGGACAAGTTTTCCGCGACGCAGGCTTGCCGCCTGGAGTGCTAAATATCGTGCAGCACTGCCGTGAAGATGCAGCCGAGGTGATAAATGCCATGATAGCGCACCCAGCAGTTCGAAAAATCAACTTTACAGGTTCGACGGCGGTGGGGAGAATCATTGCACAGCAAGCTGGCCGTTACCTCAAGCCTGTCTTGTTGGAGCTGGGCGGCAAGGCCTCGTGCATTGTCCTTGAGGACGCGGACTTGATCAAAGCCGCAAAGGCCGTTGTGATGGGAGGGTTCTTGCACGTGAGTTAGTCCCCCTAGAATCTCGAACGGCATTGACAGAATATAGCACGGCCAAATCTGCATGGCGACAGAGCGAGTCATCGTCATGCGGCGGGTTTCCGAGGAATTCTTGAAGATACTGAGAACAGAAGCAGAAGCATTTGTCGCCGGCAATGCCGTGTCCACGGATGGGGCGAAGAGAACAGAATCCTTGGTCGAAGCTGCAGTAGAACAGGGCGCTCACCTAGAATTTGGACATGCCGCGCGTCTCAATGCATCTCTTCGACCAACAATTCTCAGTGGCGTAACAAAGGACATGGCATTGTTCTATACCGAGAGCTTTGGACCGACCATCAGTTTGACCATCGTCGACACTGTGGACGAAGCAGTTAGCTTGGCCAACGACTCGGAATACGGTCTCTCAGCGAGCATATTTTCCCAGAACATTCCGAAGGCGTTGAGGTGCGCCAAACGCATCGAGACTGGCGCCTGCCATATCAATGCCATGACGATCCACGATGAACCTTTTCTACCACATGGAGGAGCAAAAGAGAGTGGGTTCGGTAGATTCGGGGGCCAGTGGGGAATGGACGAGTTTCTCCAAGTCAGAACCATAACAATACTAGACGAGGAAAGTAATAGTTAGCGAGCTCGATTGTCCCTTGAGGAGACTGCTGTCGGCTGTATTCAGGTCAGCAGCTACAACAACCAGCCGCTTACCCGGCATACCCGGTCATTGTTCGGATTCATATACCGGCCGTGAGCCACGTACAATGACACCACGTGACCCGTCTGTGGTTGCTATAACTGCCCGCTCTGTCTCCAAGGGACCTCACAAAGGCACCCAAAGCACGAAATGGCACCCGATTCGACGTCTAATAGCTTAGGGGGCACAGTCGCTCTGGTTGTCTCTGAAAAACATGGACCGTTCGAAGTGAAAGAAGTACAACTGAATGATATGCGATCCGATGAGATTGTGGTCCGTATGATAGCGACGGGTGTCTGCCATACGGACGTGGCTACTTCCATAGGGAATAGAGGCCCTAAATTACCAGCTATTCTCGGCCATGAAGGTTCCGGGGTGGTTGAAAAAGTCGGCTCTGAGGTGAAACATGTGGTTGTTGGCGATCATGTGCTTTTGTCGTTCAACTATTGTGGGAATTGTACCCCTTGCCGTCGAGGAAACCCGGCATACTGTCGACACGGCTATCATTTATCTTTTGGCGGATGTCGTCTGGATGGGAGCAAGCCGTTCTCTCTCGACGGAGTCGATATCAACTCCACCTATTTTGGCCAGTCTTCTTTCGCCGCTCGCTCCATTGTGAGCGGAGTCTGCGCGGTCAAGGTCTCGCCGACCGTCCCACTAGACATTCTTTGCTGTCTAGGTTGCGGAGTTCAAACGGGGGCCGGCACTGTCTTGAATGTTCTCAAGCCCGGCATAGGAGCATCGGTTGCGGTATTCGGAGTCGGCTCGGTTGGTCTTGCAGCTATCATGGCAGCAGCCAGATTCACACCGGCCACAAAAGTGATTGCGATCGATATTGTGGACTCCCGTCTGCAGCTGGCGACAGAGCTTGGTGCTACACACACGATCAATTCGGCGGGGAAAGACGTCGTCGCAATGATCAAAGACATCACCGACGGTGAGGGTGTCGATTGTGCTCTCGACGCGACAGGCAACGTTGCTGTCATCGAGTCTATGATTGCAGCAGCGGCCAAGAACGGAACAGTGGCAACAGTTGGAGGAGCTCCCCCAGGGAAGTTTGTTAATATTGAAGCGGCGGCGTGGATAGGCAGAAACGTCAGCTATGTTGGCTCATGTCAAGGTTCTTCATTTCCGCAGACGGTATGATCGCTCGGAGGTGATGGCTCAGGTCGAAGCTAACTTGCAGCAGTTTCTTCCTGCTCTTATCGACTTCTGGAGCCAGGGTCGATTCCCAATCGATCGCCTGATCACCAAGTATCCCTACACCGATATTAACCAAGCAATCGATGATATGCATCATGGCAAATGCATAAAACCAGTGCTAACATGGACATGACGGAGGAGTAAAGGGCCAAAAACCTTACTTGCGGCCATTTAGGAGCCACTGGTTGTCTCGCCGATGGAAAATTCTACGCTTGTAGATTGCACAACTCAGAGTGAATTCAGGTGGCAGTCCGTCCGTATCACATCGGTAGTCACACAAGAGTCGAGTACCCTTTAAGCATCCCTGGGTTACATGCGCGGATTTTGCATCTCGTTCAATTGATGACAATAAAGGTTCTCCTAAGGTCGAAACAGAATTGCTTGTAGACAAATATATCTAGAGATGAGCCTCAGGTGAAGCTGACGGAAAAGGGGCACCCAGGGGAGAGATTCGGCCTGCGGACTAACGATATCCCGAGGCTGGGCATCGTAATTGCTCACGTTGCTACTTTGGCGCGTCCGCTCCTCGCGAGATCACCAGTGATCAATAGTTGAGCGACGAAGGCTACAGTTCCCGATATACTTTGTTTTCTGACAAGAAGCACGTCTTGATGATTTCCACCCCTCGGTAATGCCTTCTGTGAAGGTAGGCCATCAGCATGTGGCTGGACCGCTTAACCGCTGGTGCTGCAACACCCAGTGCCTCTCGTGAATCGCTCGTCTCGACGAGGCCATATTCACCCTCTCCTCGCAAGAATTCACAGCTTGCTTCGACCCAGCGAACTCTTTCAGGGCTAGGTCTGTCTGCAACTAGATCCTCAGCCTCCCTTGACCTTAGTGCGAACACATCTACCACTTCTCTCACAGCCCCGGCGAGACAACCCAATGGATCCTCCCTCAGATTCGAGCAACGGCCCTCACCCAACGTCGCAGATCCCGTGAAAGTGATAAAGAGTATTCTGGGAGACTCAAAGCATGGAGCAGAGGCGAATTATGGGTCTAGGGAGCAAGACAGGGAGAAGAGCAAAGACATTGACTTTGGGGGCCTCAGCCTTGAAGAGTTTGTTGCCCAAGAGACACCACTGCGCCCTGCTCGCGACGGCTTGACCGTGGAGATCTCAGCGAAAGAGAACAGGCAAAAATTTGAAGAATTTCACAAATCAATTACGGAATGCGATCAAATACTTACCAACGTTGAATCTTACCTGACCAATTTTAAGGCAGAGCTTGGTCAGGTCTCTGCGGAAATTGAGAATCTACAGGCTCGCTCTGTTCAGCTCAATGCCAAACTTGACAACCGTCGCAATGTCGAGAAGCGCCTGGGGCCGGCGGTGGAAGAAATCAGCCTTTCTCCTTTCACAGTAAAGTCCATTGCAGAGGGTCCTATGGACGAGACCTTTGTCAAGGCTTTGAAGGAAGTGGAGGCAAGGTCATTCATAATAGAAGCCAAAGAGGACAAGGCGGAGCAGGTCAAGGCGTTGCAAGACCTGAAGCCCCTGCTCGAAGACCTCAAGGCTAAAGCTATCGAGCGCGTACGTGACTACATTGTGGCTCAAATCAAGGCCCTTCGCTCTCCCAACATCAACGCTCAAGTAATCCAGCAGCAGACTTTTTTGAGATATAAAGACCTTTACGCTTTTCTGGCTAGAAACCACCCGGTTTTAGCCGAGGAAATTGGGCAAGCATATGTCAACACAATGCGGTGGTACTATAGCAGTCATTTTTCTCGATACCAGCAAGCTCTTGATGCTCTTCAGATCCACGCCTTTGATCAATATGACCTTCTCGGCTCAGAACCGGCCCCGGCAAGGCGAAATGTCCTGGGGGCATCCAAAGCTGCTCCTCCGCCGCATGATGCCTTCGGCCTAGGAAGAAGAGAAGACCTTGTCAAATCCAAGAACGACACAGCCTTGCCTGCCTACCTGGCGGAGGAGAGCAAGTCGGCTCACTACTTGGAAGTGCCCTTCCGGAATTTCAACCAGGCACTCATCGACAACGTCTCCGCCGAGTACTTGGTGATGACTGAGCTGTTCTCTACCAGCACGTATCATCAGATCTCGCGTCGGGTGGTTGAGATCTTCGAGCCGACGTTCACATTGGGCCATAATCTGACCAAGTCTCTTGTTGAGAACACGAACGATTGCTTGGGCGTCTTGCTCTGCGTCCGTCTCAACCAGCATTTCGCATTCGAGCTGCAGCGGCGCAAGGTGCCAGTGGCAGACTCTTACATCAACTACACAAACATTCTCCTCTGGCCGCGCTTCCAAATGGTCATGGACGCGCATTGCGAATCCCTGAGAAAAGTCCCCGCCCCATCGACCAGCAGTCGAGGCGCTGCAGCCGCATTCTCCCTCGTTGGTGGAGGCTCGTCCGATACATCGAGAGCCTCGGTCGCACCCCACGCCATTACACAGCGCTTCGGCCAGTTCTTGCAGGGAATCCTATCACTCAGCGCAGAGGCCGGCGATGACGAGCCCGTCTCGAACAGCCTTGTGCGGCTCAGGTCCGAGTATGAATCTTTGATGGGCAAACTCGCCAAAGGTGCCGGCGACGTGAGTAAAAGGGCCAAGTTCCTGTACAACAACTACAGTCTGGTGTTGACCATTATCAGCGACACGAGAGGCAAGCTGGCCGAGGAACAAAAGGAGCATTTTGGCGGCCTGATCCGGGACTTGAAGAAGTAAAAAATAGATCAGGCATTTGAAATAATGAGGCATGGGAAATGAGGGTAAAAAAGGATAGATCTATTATTTCTTTCTTCGGTGATATGTTATTTCACCAGCCCTACGTACAGCCTCTTCTCGGTCCTATACCGAACTGGAATGCTAACTACCTAGGTGGCCCTAGTAGCTCTCCGACGGAAAACCTATCGCCCGTCCTCCCGTTCTGATTAGCCCCTCGCCGCTTTGCTCACCTTCGGCTCTCGGCTGTCATACCGGGAAACCCAGGGGCTGCCAGCATTAAAAGCGGCAACAAAATCAGCCAAGACCAGGCAGTTATATTTAGTCAACTATCACACCTGAACTCCATCGCCGCTCACTGAGAGGTATTTCACGTGATTAATACTAGCTAGACGTGGTAAGTTTAGCTCAAAGTCTGCCTTACTCTACTCTGCACAATGAAGGATCTGCCCTTCGATCCCTCCACTCTCAGAAGGGAAAAATTACGAGGCGTCGGCGTTGGACTCTCTTCCGAGGTCGTGCATATCGCGGGGACGAATATTGTCGCCAAAATTCCCGCCCCACAGGATCTCGAGGATCAAAAGGTCGAGAAAAGGATATATGAGCGTCTTCAGGGGCATCCAAATATTCTCCGCTATCTGGGTCAAAGCCCTCCAGCATGCACGCTATTACGCAATGCCCTGTTATTTGAATACCATCGTCATGGCACTCTGATAGATTGCTTGGACAAGATTGTTCCTGGACGAAGTCGGTTCGTCAATGTCACTCCCTCTCATGCTCGAAACACTGACAGATCTTAGTTGGCCCTCTCAAGCCGTATCAGCTGTGGCATATATTCATTCTAAAGGCGTTGTGCATGGGGATATTGGTCTTCATAACTTCCTCCTTCATGACGACGGTAGACTCATTTTGTGCGACTTCGCAGGCTCCGGTCTAGATGAGTTACCTCCTAACGTGAGCGCCGGCGTACGATATCTCAACCCATTATTTGACTCGGACTATCCCTCAGAAAGAGATGACGTTTTTGCACTAGGCACCGTGCTTTACGAACTTGACCGTGGAGAACGGCTCTTTGAGGGGAAAAGCGAGCGGGAGATCAGACAATGTCTACGGAACAAGCAGTTTCCTGACCTATCTCTGGTGTCCTCACCATTGAGGCAAGTGATTGAGAAATGTTGGACAGTCCCCGATTACAAAGCTGGCAACGCTGGATTGAGCTAGGTAGGTACACCACTCTCTCTCTGGGCCGACCCAATTTATCTACAGAGACTCAACCCACATTTATTATCAATTCATGGTTTTCTGGGCTTCTTGGACTTGCTGTTGGTGCTGTTGGTGCTGTTGGTGCTGTTGGTGCTGTTGGTGCAGTTCTCGTTTTCACATTGGCATAATAACATTGAGGGGTGATGTTGCAGAAAATAGTAGGGGGTGTTACAAATGGTCCTGTTAATTGTCTCATTATTCCCCTTTCCCATATAGCTGTTGCGTCAGATTTGGGGCAGAGAAATTTGGTATAGGGTAAAGGAATGATGGAATTGGCTCAGGACGACTATGCGGAATCCTGACCTCCTGTTCACTGTATAATTTGGCAGTGGAATAGACTCAGGACGTCCAGGACACCATTCCTACTGAAGGACTTACTCCGTAGTCTAATTTACGGTGTCTCGACGTGGTTGCAACTCGCCATGAGCCCGTTTGGCGCCGACAAGACTGAGAAAGTCTGTGGCTACTAATACGGTTGGCCTTATGGGAGATTGAATAGATGAGTTCGAGTCATAAATCTAGGCACAGGAATAGTTGTGGGAGCAGGAAACCCCATTGTACAAATGACATCCTTTTGACAGTCGAGGATCACAGAATAGGTGAAGCCAGGCACTGGAGAAGACATGCACAAGCGATGACCAGCATTATTCCAACTCTACACCAAATTATCGCCAAAATCTCTTGAGCCAATGCTGAACAAGAGGTAGCTGTCTTCTATCTGCAGGGGCCCCCTCAAGCTAATCATTTGTTCACACCCTTACCTTTTCCAGAATATGCTGATGTCCCAGATGTGGACGCTCTTTTGGAGGATGTATCATAGGATAAAAATAGTGCATCCTGGTGTGTTGCCGAGTCTATAGTAATTTTAGCATTGGATTTCTGAAATAAATCGAGGAGAATGCAGATTCCTCACCGGGGTAGAGGCGTAAGGATTCACAGGCGGGACAACGTCCTGGTCTGGACGTTGATCCTATTGAGGCTTCCCATTTGGTAACCTTGCTGTAGATCAAATCTCCATACGGCTGTGATGCAGTTTTTTCATTCTTGCAATCTAGTTTTTGGATGATACTCTCGCTCATCGATGGTTGTGGTGTAGTAATAACCCGTGTATTATAGTAGATATGTGGAGTCGTATCTTTGAGAGTGCACCTTCTATAGACGAAGGGCGACGAGAGTAACACACATTCTGAGGAATTTCGGTTGGCGGCGTTCAGACGATGCAGGTGCCAGACATGGAATTCGACATGTAAGTTGGATAACTTGATTGAATTGATTGATTGATTGATTGATTGATTAGGCAAGGAAATCTATCTAGTGCGCCTACGACTTTGTTATGTACCGCGGAGGAAATTATTCGGCTAACCTACCCGATAGGGTTAGGGTAACACCCCCCTACACTAGGCACTTAGAGAAGCCTAAATTAGTCCTATTATAGCCTATATCCCTCGATATCGTTTATAGCTATGCGCTAGTACCGGCTACCCGCAGTCTGATCTATCTGAGACAAGAAATAAACGGACATCACACCATAGTAAAGACCAGTGGTGGAAAAGAGTATCACTAATGAAGTATAGTATCCGCTCGGGTTGTAGAGGTGTGTTTATCAAAATGGCCACAGTGTGGCAGGGTCAACTCCTCACATGGCCACCGCTTTCCGGAGTAGTATCACACTTTCTTGTTGAGCGGATGGTTGGGGGCCCGATTTGTTTACTCAGGGAGCGCTCGTGAGCGCTCAGTGATGCTCAGCCTACGCTCAGTTAAAGCTCGGGTCAAAGCAGCCTTCGCTCACCCTCTAGGATCAAACCGTAAATGGCAATTAGGATTTTCGGCTCTCGAGTAATAGAGGTATCAAAGTCGGAGTGAAGTCTAGAGGTATCTTGTCCAAAGACGGGTGTAAAAATGAGCCCGATCCCTGTGCGCAGGCTCATCGAGAAGAACATATTTCCTACCAGGACGGGAGACGGGAGGAGAAACAGGAGCAAATGCCTGCCCCAGACTCTGTCGAGAGTCGAGAATGAGTCCCCGCCAGTCTTGGCTCTCGTCCTGGTGTATGGCAATAGCAGAGCCTCATCTCATCAGGCAGGTGTGGCAACTGGCACCTACCAACACAGCCTCCACCTCCCTTTCTCATCGTTAGAAAAGCCTTTCACTCAGCGAGACACTGATTCACAAGTGAACCTTCTCAACTCGACTATTCTCCAGTGTGAGGACTTATTCCAGTGCTTCAGAGCATGGATGTTGGGGGACCACCTCGAAACTTCTCACCCGGATGCGCCCATGTCACAGGGTGATATCCCTTCACAGTTGAACTGCGACGCTATGGGAGATATCGAAGACCACGATGTGCTCAACTGCGGCCTTCTCATGTCAAAGACTCCAGCCAAATCAAAAGCTGCGGAACTCAACCTCCGGCTTCTCAAAAAGCTGTACAAAGCATATGAAAGCAACCCTGAGGTAAATTTGCAGCTACTAATTCCCGAAAACTTACTCCGATTGACTGCAAGCGAGAATGATGGAAGATTCGCAAGCACAGCCTTTGCCTGATTTGGAACAGGATATACATGGTCGGTCGCATAATGAAGATGTCAATGACATTCGTTCATTGTTGAAACCCAACTGTCAAGTGGAGGTCATGTATCCATTGTCACCTGCGGTAAAAGACCTAATCGACCCCCGTCCTCACAATTTGTGGGGGAAATGTCCTGTTCGAGGATGTTACTAAGATGTTGGCGGCAAGCGAAATTATTTACCGAGTACAGTGGCTCTATTCCTGGCTTAAGGGTGGTCTTTCGATGCAGCCCGAATGCGGTGGTGAAGGTGCCCTAGGATAGCGAGGACTAGACCGAGTAACACTATGCTCCAGTTTCTCGATGAGAAGGCTCCCAATTTGGCGGCTTCAAAGCCTCTAGGCATTCTACGGATTGATCGACTATCCTTGATTTTTACATCCTACGTTCCTAGTGGTGGCTCCTCGATTATGTGGTAGGTTGGCTTCTTGAATGATTGACATTTGGACATGCGGAATCCCTTCGACTATCACAAACACAGTAGAGGTGTGAGCGAGAACAGCAGAAAGCTACAAGACCCGAGGTTGGGACCAGACAATCGAACTGGGCCGAGAGCATGTAGGACTCATGTCGGCGTTCGATCTGATCGGGACTGTAACATCAAAGTGCCCGCAGCGGTCGTGGCGACCCAGTGCGAAGGCTGCCGGAGAGTTTTCCAATACGAGTAACCAGGCTTCTAGAAGCATGGATGGCAATAGGTGAGGATGTACGAGTAATAGTGTTTGGCGCTCCGGGCAGGGAAGAGGATGGTTGGTCGACACTGTCTTGCCAGCTGTTCTGTGGTTAGGTCAGTATTCGTACGTGGAGAGAATGCAGTCAACGACGAGAAGACCTCGATTGGGAAATACTACGGGGTCAGAGATACACCGTCGCGTCTGCACCACCTCGTGAAACCTCTTGCACTCGTGACCCGTGACCCGTGATCACTAGTCGATGAAACCAATGCAACTCCCCTCGTCGGCGTCCTGTGGCGTGTCCTTCCAGAAGCCCTTCGAAGTGAACTACCAATTCAAGATCAAGACGTCGGACGCGGGGACCGGATTGGGCGACAAGAGCCGCCCCCTGTCCCCCTGCTAGGCGAAGATCTGCTTGGAGTGTCCGAAAAGTGGTGAATCGCCTTCGTCGCGACGGTGTTGGACAGGCAAAAGATTGTGTAATTTGAAATTAGCATGGTGACATCCAGGGCCAGTCACATGGCAATGCTGGCCAGCTCGAGAGAATCCTGCAGCCCGCCTTGGTGTGTTTGCTCTGAAACGAGTACCCTACTCCGTACGAGAGAACTCGTGCCCGTCAATGGGAACTTGGTGGTTTGTTCCAGGTTTCTGCTGTGGTTGGCTGCGTGGGGTGAGTTCAGAAGTGATTGCAGCAGTCGATCTCAGATAGCTAGGCGCCGAGAAGGGCAGGGCCTGAGACAGGGAGGGAAGGCTCTTGGGCCTTTTGCTTGCTTATTGCTTGTCATGCTTGCCATGCTTGCCATGCTTGCTTCTTCTTGGTGATGCCCCGAGGCGTCCCCTTGATTGGTCGTTCCAGGCTGCTCGTTGGTGCTTGGGGTTCTCTGCCACCTGCCACCTGCCAGCTGGATGCCCCTGTACGAGTAGAAGGGAGCGCTACTCTACCCCACATTACGCTACACCAAGCGGAGACTGAGCGAGGATTCATAGGCTCTACGCCTCAAAGTGTCTTCCCCCTTCACCGCACCGTTCACATTCACGGTGCCTTTGCATTGTCCAACAGTCCAACAGCTTGGGCGCCCCCCCAAAAAACTGCCTTGCCGCATGTCTACCTACGCCTTGTTGAGCGATCATCCCCCAGCCATATCACAGTGGCGTCCAGTGGTGACACTGTCAGCTACGAGTAATGATGTCGTGTGAGATGTTGTTGTCTACAAGGCTCAATTTGAACTGTAAATGGAGGGCCATGAATAGGAGAGCTGTGCTGCAGGTGGAGTCGGAGACTGCGAGTGCCTGGGTCGTTGGCTGCGCTATCACTCGCCACATCCGTTGACACCTGCTCAATTGGTTCACAATTTGTTGTCCACTCTTCTGGTTGCCTCTCGCCCGTCTCGTCTTCACTGGCCTCTTCCTGGCCTTACTCGTATCCCATCCCAACGGAGATCACACCCTACGAGTACCTACGCCTCCACAATCCTCCGTTTGCTCTGACCGGAACCCCCTCCTCCCAGGGTCCCCTGTCCGACTCTGTCGCCTTCCTCTTCCATTCACCTGCGGTCGAGACTCGAACATCCTCGAGCTACTGTACCCCGTACTCATCCTCATAGCTGACCACTATTGCACCATTGTTCTTGTGTGCAAGCACAGGCCACGGTCCTCGCCGCCCCCATTTCAGTTCGCCTGGCCCGGGTGGGTCGTAACGTCGCAGTCTGGCACCTAGACACAAAACCTCGACAGTTCGTATCTCGTTGTCATTCGGCGCGGGCGATCATGTCAGAGCTGTCGATGGGCTCAATGCAGCCAGGGTAATCTGCCACTGCCCCAGGCATCACCGTCCAAGCCTGGTCCACACAGACTTGTTGTCCTACAAATACCTCTCCAACTTACCATGGCCCTACGGGCCTCCTTGTTCCTCCCATCCCGAGGCCTCTGGCGCAGTTGCTCGTCCCCTGCTCGAATCCAAAAGGATTGTCGAGCTCTGTTAACCTGTAAACTAGTCAGCACTCGACATCTCCAATAGCTTCACCCAGACTCAACATGGAGAAAACGGCCGACTTCCATCTCAACTCTGGTTCCGACTCTCCAGATAACGTTCCAATTGACTACAATGAGATCAACAAGATTGAGGTAAGTTTATACCGTGAAGGCGGCAAAGCAAAAGCCGGACCAAGGTCGCTGACATCTTGTTCTTTCATAGGCCCGACGGGGTTCCAAGGTCAACGAAGCCACCGATGTCTTTGGCGACGTCGCCACCGCCGAGGAATATGGCTATGTCTCACGAGGACTGAAATCTCGTCACATCCAGTTCATTGCTCTTGGTGGCACTATCGGCACTGGTCTATTCTTGGGAATTGGCCGTGCTTTCCTCCAAGCCGGTCCGCTGTCGGTCCTCCTGGGCTATACCTTCACTGGTCTGGCTGTCTTCGCCATGATGATGTCTCTGGGTGAGATGGCCACGTGGCTTCCGCTTCCTGGTGCCATTCCACAATTCTGCGCCCGTTATGTCGATGATGCCATGGGGTTTGCTGTTGGCTGGAACAATTGGTATTCTTGCGCCATCACACTTTGCGCCGAAATCTCAGCAGCATCGAGCGTCATCCAGTTCTGGCCCGGCGCTCGAGACGTCAACGTGGCAGCCTGGATCTCCATCGTCATAGTGCTGGTTCTAGCGCTCAACATTTTCGCGGTCGCCATTTACGGTGAAGCCGAGTTCATTTTCGCTTCCATTAAGATCATCACCATCATTGGCCTGCTCATCCTCGCCCTCATCATTGATGTTGGTGGAGTTCCAGGGCAGCAACGTCTCGGGTTCCAGTACTGGAATAACCCTGGGGCTATGAAAGCGTACATCGCCTCCGGTAGCACTGGTCGTTTTCTGGGTCTATGGTCCACTCTCGTCAACGCCGCTTTCTCATATGGAGGCGTCGAAATGGTGGCCGTCGCGGCTGGCGAGGCTGAGGATCCGCGCCGAAATATCCCCAAGGCTGTCCGCCGAGTATTCTGGCGTATCTTGTTCTTTTACGTCTTGGGCTCATTGGCGATCGGCGTATTGGTCCCGTACAACGATCCCAATCTCTTGAACGCACGTGAAAATGGCGCGCCTGGTGCTGCTCAGTCTCCATGGGTTCTTGCCATCAATCGGGCCGGAATCGACGCTCTTCCCTCCATCATCAACGCTGTCATCTTGACATCTGCCTCCTCGTCGGCCAACGCTTTCTTGTACACGGGCTCTCGATACCTGTATGGGATTGCGCAAATCCGCCAGGCACCCCGATTCCTGCTCAAGTGTACCAAGACTGGTGTCCCTGTGTGGTGTGTGCTGATCACCTGGTCCATCTCTCTCCTGACGTACATGTCTTGCTCTTCCGGGTCGAATACCGTCTTCACCTGGTTCCAGAACTTGACCACAATCTCCACGCTCTTCACCTGGGTCAGCATCTGCATTGCGTACATTCGCTTTTACCATGCGTGCCATGCGCAGGGCATCGACCGCGACCAGTTGCCGTTCAAGTCTCCGTGGCAACCATACCTCGGCTACATCTCGGCCATCTTCTTTGGGCTGATCATTTTTTTCAATGGGTTCGACTCGATTGCAGGAACGTGGGACTACCAGGCCTTCATCACCGATTACATCGGAGTGCCCATCTATTTCGGGCTCTACCTTTTCTGGAGAATCTTCAAGCGCACACACTTCCGCAATGCGGCCGAAGCCGATCTGCACACGGGTAAAGCTGCGTTGGACGCCATAGTGTGGCCCGAGCGGAAGCCGAGAAACATTGTGGAGAGGATCTGGTTCTGGATCGCATGAAAGAGGGGAGTTTTGTTCCCTAGGCTGTTTCCTGTTCGACAAGTGACACACCATACCCTGCAAGCGCTCATGTCATTGTTTGCTGTTCGGAGGTTAGAAGTACCAGGCAGCTCGTGGACGAGCTATGATAATATCATCGGAACCCTTTCTCAGTGGGGGAGATGTGTTCCGAGTAGATGTAAGGAGAGGAAGAGGTGCAGTGTAGTGCAGTGCGGTATCCAAGTACTGGTGAAAGAATTCCGAGATGTTGATATGACGTGGGCAGCACGGTAGCGCCCTTTGACATGTGCATAGCATTGACCACTGAGAAGCATATTCGGTCCTCGGTCCTGTTCGAATACCGAGCACGAGTTCTCCGTACGACATACTCCGTACAGGACCTGCAGGAAAGAAGATATCTCGAAGCACCGAGTACTCGGTAGAGTGATGGGACTCGCAATTAATAGGAGACCTCCTACCTACCATGCTGGTACAGGAGGTACTCGCTCGCTCGGCACG